TTAAACTATCTTGAACACAACTTCGCGATGAAAGAACCTGTACGTATACTAAGTGACATATAAATCCGAACACCCAGTTTAAATGGTTTTATTTTAATAAAAGTTGGTGAATGTATTTATCTTACTGTAAATAACAAGTGAAAAAATTTTCAGCCTTATCAGTTGGACATTCCGGTTTTTATACTGCTTTTTTTAATTCACTAACGCTCTAAAAATGAATATTTCAGCCGCAGTAAAGAATGAACGTTGGCGGATTTTGGTTCTTGACATCCTTTACGATCGGTTACGATGCCTAGAGTACGGAGACCTGTACGATTTCGTCAACTTAGTGAGTTTGATAGAGGCCGTATAGTGGGACTTCGGAGCTGGAACTTCTTTTCGGGCAATTGCAGTTAGAGTGCAAAGAAGTGTAGACACTGTGGTTAGGTGTTGTCAGGCATGGCTTCGAGAAGGCCGTACGCAAAGAGCAAGGGGCACTGGATGCCGCCGTAGAACAACAGACCGTGAAGATCGCCGCCTAAGATTATTGGCCTTAAGGGAACGTTTCTCCACTACCAGGTCCATTGCAAATGAATGGTTTGCAGAACACGGAAGACTAATCTTTTGACCATTTTGTAATTTCAGGTACGCAGCATTCATCAAACCACTTTTTGAAAAGGTCTTTTGTCATCCATGCACTTTTGTCAGGTAAATCAATGTTTTTGAATGCCCGTGGTTTATTAGATTTCCCAATGGCCATCATCTTAAGCACGTGTGTGCCCTCAGCGCTAGCGCATGGTAGTATGGTTACACGCTCTTTACTTACTTTTCGTCCAGGTACGGATTTTTCGTTACAAGAAACGAAATTTTTGTTAGGCATCACATGCCAAAAAAGCCCTGATTCGTCTGCATTGTACACCTGTGACGGGTCAAGATTTAAATCGTTCACCTTGTGCAAAAATCTTAATTTAAAATTTTAAAATGTTCTAGCCATCCTTTGCTGGCCATAAAATCATCTTTTTTTGTTATTTCCTTATAAAAAAACTTATCTTTCATGGCCAACATGGGTCCTGAAATTGATGCATGCCTATTCCTTTCCTGAAGAAGCCTCATGTACAAAGCTTCTTCCACTTCTGGATGTTCAGCTTTCTTGAGTATCTGTCTCTTGTCTGGCCCGCAGTCACTAGTTGACACGGACGTCGGATTACAGGGGGCGCCGGATTATCGGGGGTCCACTGTAGTTCGGTTTCAGCTATATCTTTAATTGTTCTTATAAGCAGCTCTACATTTTGGACTTTAACCTGGCATAGATTGTATGGATCTCGGGTATCGTTTATGGCATTTCATGGGGTCTTAGTGGCCGTTGGCTTGGACTGGAGTGGATTTAAAAACGTAACGCTTAAATAATGTTCCCGTAAAACACATCGAACCCTTGAGTTACTTTATCGATCTAGGGCATAAAGAGGTCAGGTGCTGAATATTATATATTTACACAGTATTTTTTACAGCCCGCCGGAGATAAATAATCTTTTTAACTTGCTTCATTGACTATACGTATCTAAGCATAAGTGTCTTTCGTCTGGTAGAAATTCTGGAATCGATTTATAAAAAATAAGGTGAATGCTCGATCTAGCAGTCAGTCTTGGATATATAAATGGAGCCAAGTATACGGACGTTTTATTTTCCACGCATCTTGGAACGTTCAGTGTATGGAATAACAAAATCAAGCATATGGAAATACTTCTAACATTGATATTTGTTATCACCTGTTCACTTCATTATCCAAATTTTCCAATCCTCATTTCCTTCTCAAATTTCATAATCGAAATGAGCACTTTATATTTGATGTTACCCGTTTAGAATATCCCATTGTACCCTAACTACCTCTTACATTCCTGTGAAAGGTGCGAATCAAGAATAGTTTCCAGTAAAGCGATAAATACAAATGCATTAAGCACTGCAAGATACCAGTCTTCCCATTGATGTGTCACCTGTGTGAATGCGGAATTGCTGATATTAATATAATTCTATATCCACCGTGTATATTCAATACCGTAACCCAATTCCCCATATTGCTCTGAAGAAATGTACAATAATATACACACAAAGTGGCAATTCGCACACCTACAATATTTTCGCTATTTGAAGCATAACAGAACTAACTATCTATACTTGGAAAGGAAAGCGAATTGTTTATTATTCTAAGTGACATATAAATCCGAACACCCAGTTTAAATGGTTTTATCTTAACAAAATTTTGTATAAGTACTTAATGAAGCATAATAAGTAAATGAAAAAAATTTCAACATAATTGCACTGCTTTAAAGCCCTTTGACCTTTAATAATGTGTAGATGCACCCTGATGTGCTACGCATTCTCAAACGCGCCTAGGCATGCTTCTGATCAGGTAGTCAATGTCCTCCTGTGGTATCTCATTCCAGGCAACCACCAACTCCTCTCGAAGTGCTTCTAGAGTCTGAGGAGGACGTTGCAAATTGAGCAATCTCCTACCCATCATATCCCAAACGTGCTCAATTGGGGGTAAGTCAGAAGATCTTGGTGGCCATGGTAACAATGTGACATCATTATGTTGAAAGAAGTCTATTGTGACTCTTGCAACATGTGGTCGGGCATTATCTTGTTGGAAAGTTGGATCTGCCAGGGTGTCAAGATAGGGTAAAAGATGGAGTTCTAGAACTTCGTGGACCATCGTGTGTGCCTAAACAAAATCGAGACTCGTCACTAAAGACAATACTGTTCCATTCCTGATCCCAGAGTGACCGTTGTCTGCACCACTCAAGGCGATTACGTCGGTGTTCTCGAGTTAAAGGGAGGACCCAGTGTGGCCGGTATGAAAACAAGCCAAAACTTCTCATTCGTCGGTAAACACTTCGCATGCCAATAGGTCTTCCGTGTTCTGCAAACCATTCATGTGCAACGGACCTGGTACTGGAGAAACGGTCCCTTAAGGCCAATAATCTTAGGCGGCGATCTTCACGGTCTGTTGTTCTACGGCGGCGTCCAGTGCCCCTTGCTCTTTGCGTACGGCCTTCTCGAAGCCATGCCTGACAACACCTAACCACAGTGTCTACACTTCTTTGCACTCTAACTGCAATTGCCTGAAAAGAAAGTCCAGCTTCCGGAAGTCCCACTATACGGCCCCTATCAAACTCACTTAGTTGACGAAGTCGTACAGGTCTCCGTACTCTAGGCATCGTAACCGATCGTAAAGGATGTCAAGAACCAAAATCCGCCAACGTTGATTCTTTACTGCGGCTGAAATATTCATTTTTAGAGCGTTAGTGAATTAAAAAAAGCAGTATAAAAACCGGAATGTCCAACTGATAAGGCTGAAAATTTTTTCACTTGTTATTTACAGTAAGATAAATACATTCACAACTTTTATTAAAATAAAACGATTTAAACTGGGTGTTCGGATTTATATGTCACTTAGTATATTTTATCCTATTCGTTCTTAACCATATAGTCAATATACCCATTTTAACACATTACATCTACAATTTCGTTACCTACTGAAACCACCACCCGAAATTATCCGCATATTTTATAAATGAATCAATAATGACATTTATATACATAATAAAGAGTCCTCCATCCTTATCTGGCCAATAAGGGAATCAGCCTAAATTAAATTAAAAAACGATTGTGTTTCTAGTTCTTCTGTGGACTGTGACCCAAATTGGTCTAATATCTTTAAAGGAACGACCTAATTGATATTCTCCAACTTAACTAATAGACAAGTTTTTTCCCAGGTTTTTTCTCACGGTTTGTGGTTGGGACTCAAACGCAAATGACCTTCAAGGTATCTGGAAAAAGAAGAATGTTAAACAAGAACTTTTAATGCGAAAGTTACAGGACATCTAACAGCACATCTGATTCTGTCCTTGACTATGACCTTGTAGGTCAATTCGAGGACAGATTGATTTTTCAAAACCTCAATTTTAATCCCAGCGGTGATCAAATGGAGAAGAGCTTAATAAATTGACGGAGGTATAATCACACGTAGAGGTCATTTCAAGGTCATGGACCTATTTTCGTGGATTAGATTGAAGTAATCGATAATCTTTGCAAGTGAAAAAAAGCTTTGACTGATTCCTCAAGATATTGAAGTCAGACTATTTCCGCCCAGTAAAAGTTTTAAAGGGGAATTTTGGATATTCCAAAACCCCTAAGTTATTAACGAGTGCTAGAGATTGCTATTGGACATTTCATCGCAATGGAAACTCTTAACTCATAGCTGTTTAATCTTCCTCATTACTAAGAGTACCATCAGGATAGAACTAATAATACCCGCTTAGTGCCAACGCAAAGATTTTTTACAGGGCACGCACAAAAGAGTAAAGTACTCATTCTAAAAATTTAAAATATCTTGCTACTTTATATTTCAAGGACTGTTAGAATTGAAAAAATGACAATTTTAATACGATATTTAATAAAACGAAACGTATTTGATGATACAAAATTGAAATAACCTCTAGGTGTGATTTTACCTCCCTTAATTAAACCTTTGAACATGAAATGTTCCTCCATTTTCCGCGCTGGCATTAAAATTGAGAGCTACCATGTGGAAAAATCAATTTGACCTTGCATGGACCTTCAAGGTTATAGCCAAGGTCAGAATGAAGGTCACCATCGGATGATCCATTAAGTGTCCTGAAATATTCCCCCTAAAAGTTCTTCTTTCATATTCTTCTTTTTCCAGCTGTCCGCTGCTTCACAACATTCCATGAAAGAGCAACTAACCTCTAGATATAACTTTAATTCCTATGATATACACGACATTTTCTTGGCCGTCTATTTCTGCTAAAAAAAATATTTGAAAAAATCAACTTGCCCTTGAAATGACCTTCAAGGTGAGTATCAACGTCAAATTCAAGGCCACCACCAGATGCGCCGTTTAATTTCTCATAATTTTTGTATATAAAGTTTTTTCTAGCGTCCTTAGTTTCCCAGATATTTGGATGTCAATTCTTTTGAAATGCATGCAATAACCATATTGACAGAAATGTTTGATTTTCACCGTAAGCTGGAAATGAACCATTACACTTATTTTCCTATGACGACCTTTATCTGTAAAAAAGGTTCCGACGACTATGCCCAAAGCTCAAGCTGCGGCTGGCTCTGACGGCAAAAATCTGGAACGGCGCTGTTTCCTGGCTCGCATCCCAGTTTTTCCTTTATTTTCTGGATCCGGATCATTTTTCTTCCCGCATACGTTTTCCATAACCTCTTTCCGACCCAAATAAATTCCATGGTCCGAAATTCGCAAATCTGGGCCGCCGTCATAGCGACAGCCACTTACAGAGCTAGCGGCATCTTCTGCATACGAACAATATAGGATACTTGATTTGTGTGGTATTCAGAGCCAGTTCATAGGTGTACAGCAGTAAGGACCTTAGTTTGAATGGAACTTTTATCTACTAAAGTATATTCAGATAAGAGATAGACCGGACATAAACAAGACCACGTGATCATCGAACGCTGTAACATTCGGCAGGGACGTATTAAGAGTCACGCAGTACATATTTTAGATAGTAGATGCTGCTTTGCGTGACTTTGTAGTAAATTAGCACAATTCGATGTGTATACGATTGGTGATGGATATAGGATCATGTGGGGGTGGGGTAAGAAATATATAATGATGTAAATATACATAAGGGTTTCAAAATTTTCGCTTCGATTTCCAGCTTCGGATGCCGCCTGACGTTTGGTGAAATACAGTCGAATATAATCTCAAAATGGCGTTTAAATTAGCCTAAATTAAAAATAATCGTATATCTCTTAAAATTGCTTTTAGAATATTGATTAGTATATTTTTTGATTTCTAGGTAAATATGTAACCAAATTAAAACGTTCAAAACGTAAAAAAATGTGCATGGTTGAACATTGTCAGAAAGTAGATTCTTGAATAGGTTTTGCCAAAATTGGTTCAAAAATGTCAATAATTAATTAAAAAATACAGTAGCTTTATAATTACTTATAACTTACCGAATTTGATGAACGACATCTTTTATTGGAAAGATGAGCTTGATGAGCTTTCATCATCGCTACTGCCTGAAGCACCAACGTCAATAATGAATGGCTCGACTTGTTCCTCTAAAATATTGTCCAGTTCCCACATTCTCTTTTCAACTTTGTCTTTCACGTGCTTAATACAGTTTTCCCATTTTTGCGCTGTTATTAATTCTAGTGCTTCTTTGAAAAGTCCTTTGAGGTCACAAAATTTAAAAGTTGTATTGTGCTTAGCTATATAATTTTTAACCTCTGCCCATATGAGCTCAATGGGATTGAGCTCGCAATGGTATGGAGGTAATCGGAGCACAGTTCAATTTTGACTTGCTGCCATTTCGTCAATGGCGTATTTTTTATATATCGCCTTGTGATCCTTGACAATTCTTAATAATTGTACTTTCAGCATTACTTCTTCAAAGTTGATATTGTTCGAGCGGAGCCAATTTTGAACATTAACTTTCCTTGAAGCCGTTGTTGGGACCTTCTCCATTCTTCGAGAATGATAAGGCGCATTATCCAACACAATTACTGCGTTTTCCTCTAAGTTCGGTAAAACTTTTGAAAACCGCTGTTCAAACGATTCGCCATTCATTTCCTCGTGGTAATCTCCAGTTTTCTTAGACTCAAAGCACCACAGACCGTCAACAACAAATCCATCCTCACTGCCAATATGGCAGATAATGAGCCTTTTCCCTTTACCTGGAAATCGAAGTACTAACTGGTGTAGATTTATTTCAATAAGCGAACCTTTTTCAAATGTTTTCATCACATTCAGCGAAAAAACATTGAGACATGAGTATCAGATTGCTATAATTGGGATTATTTAGTCATATTGAAAGAAAGAATATTGAACGTCGTATGATTACTCAGCGCTTCACAATTTAATTTAAAGTTATAAACCTTTAAAAAATGAATGATCAGGAACCTGAAATACGCGCAAATATTAATATTAACAAATTATAACTTTATAAAGCTTAAAGTATGAATTAAAATGATTAGAAATATTAGGAACGGTACACAATATAAAACTTAGTAACTTTTTTTAAGTTTATAATATTCGACATATTTTAAGATTATATTAAAAAATTATTGAAATATCGAAAACACATAAAAACATGGCTAAAAAAAGTTCTAACAAATGTAAATGACAATAAAACATCCACGCATTTTATCGAAAGTTATAAAAGTTTTGTTACTTGTAATATGTTTTATCTGCCCCCTGGAATTAATGTTTAGAACCTTGTTCCCAAGGTTTGAAAAACATCCGATTGTTGTCTATTACTCGTATTTACCTGCTGGATTTTTTAATCCGGTGGACAGTCCATCTAGAAAGGCCCTCCTGGATGAAGTTACAGAATCATCAACCCATACTTTACTTGTAGCGTGTCCTGCGTTTACCCACGTTTCATCAAGGTAATAAATCTTCCTGTTTTGATTTCTATATTTCCCAATTTTTGTTAAATAATCCCTCCTCCATACCACAATTTCTTCTCTATCCAGTGGTAAACTATTACGACCCCGTGTTTTCCATTTGAAATTTAAATGCTTCAGTAACGCATGGAAAGTTGATCGTTTGAAATTTGGCAACGTTGTATCTCCATTTACCTCCTGCAGTACTTTATCTATAGTAGGTATTTCATTCCTAAAGAATTCATGCACTTTCCTCCTAATCGCATGCTTATCAGCTTCATCTAATGATTTAGCAATACTTTTGCGATGTTTACTGGTCATTGGCTCAGAAAAGGTGTGATTTTTTTTGTATTGTCTTAACACATTAAACACTGATGCGCGACACACCCCAACTTTGTGAGAAACCTTCACAACAATTTCTTTGATGGTTGATGCCTCGTTCTCCTCGCGCTCGATCTTATATATATTCAAAATGACCTCTTTCATTTCTGCACTCAGGTGTCTTTTTTTAGAGCGTTTCCTAGGCGGACTACAGGAGTTTACAACTTCATCGGCAGTATCTGTACTACTGGGCATTTTGCGCAAGCAGTTGATAACAATAACAATCAATAACAAGGTATAACAATAACAACGACAAACTCAACAACTTAATAAGATAACAAACGAAAACGTCCAAAGAAATATCAAATTGCAATGATGCACACGACATACGTAACACGTCTGAACCTGAATGTGACTCTGCCTTGATACGACTGCTCTGCCGCTCGGCATAGGCATTTAATTGCGAATTGACCAACGAGGGCTTCTGTTTTACGTCGAGACGGCGGCGTTAGCATTAAAATCACCCGAACCTTTTGTTTACATCCGGTCTATCTCTTATCTGAATATACTGTAGATCGGTAAGACAATGTGCGTGTTCTTTGCGGTAATCAATGCGGTAACCAGTGGATTATAATATACAGGATGTTCCTTAATGATATGCGAATATTTTAGGGTGTGAATCTACATGAAAAATTAATGTTAGTTTGCTTTATAAACTATGGTCCAAAAATGTTTCCTTACAAAAACTCGGGGTGTTGAAGTTTTAGGAAAAAATGGAAATTAAATAATATCTTCAGAACCGCTTCAGATATTTCACTGATATTTAGTACTTAGTTGAAGTTAATAAAGTTGCATATTTTTCAATGCAAATATAATTTTTAGCATTTCAGTGGCGTGCGTACGGGTATTGACTTCGATATTAAAAAGAAATAATTATGTTCACTGTACACTGTCGAACAAGTCGTATACATGTACACAATGATCCTAGTGCAAGACGACATTTGCAGGTTTCTTACGTGTTATAGGCATTTTACATAAAACCCGTGCGGAACGTCGTACAATAAAGAGGAACTTTTAACATATTTATGCGGTTTAAAGCGACAAGACAAACACGGGGAAATATTTTTCACAGGCTAAACACAGGCACGTCCGAGTCGGACATAACTGAAGCATTTAAGAATTGCTTGCATTTCACACAACTCTTGTTCTGCCGTGCTTAGCGATAACACCGCATCTACAAAAAATAAAGCATGGAGGAAAACATGTTTTTTCTTTTTTTCAGAGCCGTAAGAGAGTTCAAATACTTTCGCTGCCTTCTATTGTCATAACCCAGTATATTCAATTGAGAAAACATATTTTCACAAAAATGTAGAAAAAAAATGACTGGTTTTATTTTCAAGCCAGATACTGCATTTCTCTTAAGCAAGAAGTATAATGAAAGTCACATGTGTTTCTGCTAATTACTTTCCAATAATTTGTGACAGATAGAATTATACTCTCGATATATTTAAAAACAGACTTTTTGTTTTGATTCTCTTACAAACTAAAAACAAAAATACAAATATTCATAATGATATGCGCTAAATACCAAAGAACAACACTAATTGGAATCAGCTCTAGCAGGTATATTTCGCCAAAAATCTTTTCTGTTTTCAGGCATTATTGTATTCAACACTTTTAAAATGTTTTCCTTTTTTTCTGAATTAAAACCGCGAGGCTTATGTAACGGCTCCGGCAATTTCATACCATTGGGCTTGGTTGCTTTAAACTGTAGAAAATCTAAACAATTATTCGGCTCCCATTCCGAATGTGAGGTTTTGAAAAGAAGATAATATTGCCCTCTGCGAGCGGTAATCTGAACAATGTCTTTGAGATAAATTCGATTCATTTGTTTCTTTAATTTTTGTTGTGAAACGAAAGATTTGAAAGAATAGAAATCTGAAAAAGACATGTTTTTGATTTCTACTGCTCCCTTATTTGTTTGGGATACAGCATTAACAAAATCTGGAAAATCATACGTTTTTCCTTGTTTCTTTAAGGACAGCTCCTCTTGATGATAAACATGGTCTGTTGACATATATGTATGCCCTGGTTCAAAATAATTAATGACAATTTCTTCAGCACTTATTTCACTTGAATTTATAATGAAAACAAGGAAACTTAATAAGCACCAATTTTTGTTTTAGCTTGAGCAGTTATCAAGCCTAACAGTGTTTTTTTCTAAGTCTCCTTGTTTTTTAAAAAATGCATAAAATGCACTTGTAACATCATCTTGGTCTCTTCCGCTTATACCTTCATGCCACAGTACTGCAAAAGGTTTTGCCAGACTCTTTTTCCCCAGTGGAACGAAGCTCTCATTATAAACTGAAAGCCTTTGGATAAATAAGACCCTTTTAAATGTCTCTAATCTTGGCAACATTATCACTTTCTTTAAGTTAGCAGAAAAATAGGAGTTACTTTTTTCATTATCATGCGCTTGTTGTCGGTACTTTTCTCGTGACTCTTTAGCCATATCAATGTGATATTTCCAAATCGTGCAGGTTTCACATCCAGGTTGAAGACTATCTTCATTATGC